AAAGGAAAGGAAAGGAAAGGAAAGGAAAGGAAAGGAAAACACTTGAAGTCAACAAGCAATAGGTTTTCATGAGATAGTCAGTTGCAATGATAATGCTCTAGAAAAAAATATCTGAAGATGCTTTTCCTCCTCTTTCTTCCTAACCTAACAGCAGTGCTCCAAAAGGAGCTCCTTAGGGAAATGGTGTCACCCAGAGCTCCCACTTGCCCAGATGTTTCCCTCATTATGTTACAAGCCTGTCAAGAAAAGGCAAATTCAGGGTTATTCTAATGATAGCAAACACCTCATAAAAAACCTCTCCAAATTTACTTTTCCAAGGAACATCATTTTAAAAGGCAGTTCAACTGCCCAGGAGGAAAAAAAAAAAAAATTAAAAAAAAAAAAAGCTTTATTTATAAAACATTATTACCAGAAATCTTGAAGATATTAAAAAAAAAAAAAAAAAGTGGCCAGGAATGTCAAGCTAGCAATAAAACTGGAACCCAAAAGAAAGATGGCACCTTGGGGCCTTACTGAAATCAGAGAGCTGAGCCAGGTCTCCCACCACGTTCAGCAGGAGGTTTAGGGGCCGAAGGGGCCTGATCCCAGCTCAAATCAGCAGGTTTAGCCTCCCCCACAGGGGTGGTTTCACTCTGCAGACCACCAAGTAGAGACCCCAAGCAAATACTGACCACAGTCTGAGACCCCATGATAACACTGACCACCACTGGAGACCCCGTGTGAATACTATCAACTGGAGACTCCAAACAAATACTGACCACCATTGGAGACCCCATGATAACACTGACCACCACTGAAGACCCCATAGGAACACTGACCACCAACTGGAGACCCCAAGCAGAGTGGCCACTACAGCCTGCTGTCTCCTTCCCTTACTTATGCTTTCTTTTTCAAAAAGATGCTTTGTGGGCAAAACATTTTTTTAAACTGAGATGATAAGAGAGAAGGTTATCTAAATTTGAGCTGATAATGAATTAAATATTTTCTATCAGTTCTTTGCATGATCTGGTGGTTGTTCTACTTCAGCTAATGTGAACCAAAACATTGACTGCAACATCTGAGACAGACTAGGGAGGTACCAGGGATGTATTACTGCTGGATTTTGATGATATTGCAACTTTTATCATGAGACTCAAGCCATTTTGAATGCATGGTAACCATTAGTACCAAAAAAAAAAAAAAAAAAAAAAAAAAAAAAGGCTCCTTATCCCTGACTGACCCAACTCGCTGTCAGGTTCACAGCACCAAAGGGCTGGAGAAGACTGTCCGGGCCACCAGCCCTGTCCCTCATGACCACAAGCCTGGAGGACCCCTCATTTGGCAGATCCTCAGGCCTCGGTATCCAGCACCCTCCCCTGTCCAGCCCCGTGTTTTGCTCCCCGGCTGCCCACGGCCAAGCGGCACCTGCTGCTCGGGGCACCTGGCGCCACTGGAGCCCTTGGGGACATCGCGAGGCCGGGGGGCGCCCCTACGGGCCGGGCCACCCGCAGGGGGCGCCGCGGGGCGCGCGGCCG